AAATTTAAGAAACATGGTAGTGGAAATAAGAAATTTATGGATGGATCTGATCAGCTTGGAGCTATTTGCTCCTATCTATAAAAAGCTGGCCTGTAACTATGGTTAAATGAAATGTTTAGGAATCATTTGCCTCTTTCAATATACACTTCATTTTCTTACATTAAAAATATAAGGTTATGTATTTTCATTTTTTGATTCCTATTATGAGTTAAGACATTTCATTGTTTACAGTGTGATAGATCTTGTACTAGAGTGGTTTCTATTTATAAGGAAATTAATTTCAGCATCAGAATAGAAATGCAATACTGATTGAAGGCATAGCATTGGCACTTGATAATTTTGTCCTTGATAATTTTGCCCAGTTCCTCTATTTGCCAGTGATGATCTAAAATTCTTTATGGTAAAGTTAATTATGCTATCCATGATTTATATTCTTGGTTAATAAGGTATTTTCCAAACTAAAATAAAAAATTATTGCTTGAGCACGCTTGCTTTTCAAACCAATATTTCCAGCCCAGTTGAGAGTAGATCGTTGTAACAGGCTCTCAGCTGACCCAATGTTCTTTGATGCATCTATAAATTTAATGCTCTTCCACTCCAACTCTCCACAGGCATTCACTAGTTGACTTGAAAATGCAAATGACAGAAGCAAACTCCAAGAACAGCGAAATTATTCCTGCTGCGCTAGAAAAATTTTCCACTAACAATTGCGTGCAGAGTGTGGAGACTCTCCTGGCAGGTGCTCCATAGCAATAGCTTTGAAGATGATAGTCAACCGCCGAACGCAGCAGTAGGACCCAACTGCAGTCTGGAAGCTGATTCTGGGGCGCAGGCCTTAGCAGAGGAGTGGGCCAGCACCCTGAAACCGGCTTTTGCGAGCATGTGAAACTAATGTGATCGCAGTGTTGTTTATATAGGAAAGGCGTATGTCCAGATTCTTTGGCCAAAAGTCAACAAAGGAATACGGGCCTGGGAAGAACTGTCACTTTGCTATGGGGCTCGCTGTTCTATGGGAAGTTTTCTGGTTATTGAGCTTTCTGACCCCAGGATTGGAAAGGATTCCTACAAAAAAGCAGCACCAGATGTAATGGTTAATTTATTTTCTTTGGAAATTTTTATAGAGAAAGTTGTCAAACACTATTTCCCTTGTGTGTGTTGTCTGCTGGGAACCCATCTATTGTATGACTCAACTAAGTACTCAAGAGAAGCCCCGTGCTGGGTTAGTGTACACTTCTGATTCCTAGTGCTAGACGTTCTTTTGCAAGGTTAGGTGTCGCAAACCGTCCCCTACAGTTCCAGTCTGCATCTGCCTGCCCCCCACCCCCACCCCCTAGGAGACTGTTGGCCTTTCTCCACATCAGAAGGCAGGCTGCCTTCTACACAGGCAACTGCTATTCCTCCTCCAACATACAGCCCAGAACCCACTGAGAACTGTCACTAGCAGCCAGTGCCCCCTTCTCTTCTGCACACACAGCAGGGCAGCGGGTAACAACCACCTCGTGGCTCCCTGTGTGTCAGCACTGCACTCTCCCAGTGAAGCTGCTCACAGGGTTGGCTCCCAGGGGGACAGCTACCAGAGCCCAAATCAGCACCATCGAAGTCCCTGGGGACAGGCAGTGTGAGAACTCTAACTTGTCCTGACTGCCCAACGCAGTCACCATGTCAATGGATCTTAGTGGTGAGAGTCATCAGCAGGGCACGAATATGTCGAGGGGCCAGAACCTGTTTCTCCAAAGAGAGAGTCCCTGTATGTCCACAATGGAATACACGGCTACAAGAAAAAAACAGAAATTAAGCGAGCTGCTGCTATGCAATCGAACTGGAAGGCATCGTGCCGAGTGAGGTCAGCAAGTAGAGATAGGAGAATTCGGTGGGGGATGAAACAGGAAAGTGTGGTCAGAGACAGTGAGAGTGGCTGGTCTGCAAAACTGAGCTGATGAAGGATGGGAAGTGTTTGTTACACAGCCCCTCCTTGGGTTCATTTATTTGATCAGTCTGATAGAGTTTCATGCCCATCAAGTTCCACAAAGACTCGCCAGGAAAGCAAGCGGAGCGAATTTTTTCAGTGACTTTATTTAACAAAGTTGATGCCAACTTCTCTAACTACATACAAACGTGTTTCACAACCAGAGCAGCAGACACATCAGCCACCAGCGCAGGGAGAAGCGGCCGCGTCAGCAGGTCCTGAAGTGCTCCCCTACTTCTGCAGGCACGAACAGGCTCACACAGGGACCCCGAGGCCCGGCGGGGGGGGGGGGGGGCACGCCTCTTCGTGGTGGGGAGGCTTGTCCGGAGTGTTCTGGAGAGAGATGCTTTCAAGGGTTAATACGCTGTGTTCAGGACTGGTGACAGCTCTAGGGCCCAGGGAGGGCCTCATAAATATTTTGCACTCGGGATAGAAATCTGAGCAAAATAGAATCGATTAGTGTATACTTTGAGTCTTTTAAAAAAATGCCCACTCTCTGTCATATCATAAATATAACAAGATCATCGACTTTCTGACCCCCAAAGAAAAAACAGAATCTACTTTAGAAAATAAGCATAAAATAATTTTATGAGTCGGTTCTGCTGTTAATAAAACTTACTGAAGTCCTTCAAAACCAAGGTGAAACAAAGCATACACATTCAACACAGTGTTGTTCCCACCTCTACAAGCAACAGAGGTGGGCTTCACTCCTAACACTGACCTACCTGCTAACAAAAGCTACTCCCGGGGGTCTTCGAAAGCCGGCTGTCCTTTGCTTTCTCCATTTAAAAAACAAAACAAAACTTCCAAGAGTTCTCTTTAGTCCTTAAAAAATAGTCTAAGTTCTGAGTATTCCCCAAAAGGTTAGCTACTTGGTCTACTCACAAAAGTTTGCTGCAGTGAGTACACAGGCTGAGTTTATATTTAATACTTGAGTAATGGTTGATGCTGCCAAATGTCAACTGTCCACATTGGCAGGTAACACTCTGACCTGATTCATGGTGAAAGTCATAAGGGGGCCCCAAATCTCGGGACAGATGGTGCTAAGGAGTGAGGTATTACGAAGTGAATGCCCTAGCCTTCTCTCCAGAGAGGCCTGCTTTATGCAGGAGGGCCACACCACACGCCCCGGTAAACTCCGGGCCCTCCTCGACCTGGGGAAGTGGCACTAGACCTGGGTCTCACCAAGCGCCAACCAGAAATGCCTGGAAATTCAATACTCTTAACAAAAATGCTCAGCGGGGCTTCCCCTCTGGGTGCTTCCCCTAAGTCAGATCCTCGGCCGAACTGTGCTTTCATCTGCTAAGAATGAGATTAGACCATTGTAAAAAAATTTACGTTCAAAATAAATTACTTCTAGAATATAAAAAACTGTGGGTTATTTTCTCAGCTCGTGTAATTTCTTTAGAAAATAGGAAACCAGAAAAATTAGCTAGTTTTCATGTGGTAAAAAAAAGTACGTGTACACACACAGACACAGTTTTTACAAAGCCAAGTTTCAAATTCTGATAAAAATCATAACCAGTTAATCACCCTGACGGTGTGCTGAAACTTACTAAGCGATGCGGAGAGCCAACTGAAAGAGGAGGACAATCACTCCCACTAAGACTTCCCGTTAGATCCTCCAAGAACTCTCGCATGTGAAAAATCTAGAGGGGGAAAAAATATCTAGAAGTCTCCAACAACGCAACAGCAAAGAAGTCTGACTGGCCAAGTGCAGGTGTCACGGCACAGTCAGTCTTGTTCTCCTGGTGCCCAGAATTCGCTAAGGAGGGAGCAGCCCTGCCAGATGCAAGTGAGTGCCAGCTGCTCCCAGGTCGTGCGAGGGGCCCACAGCCCTGTCCGAGCCGCACTCACCACGCCATCCATCCACCCTCAATGTACACGACCCCTGGCCCTGGTACCCACAGGGGCCAGAGACCAGCACCCAGCGTACCTCTGCTGGCAGAGAGAGGAGTGGGGAAGTGACAAGCCAGGAACCGTTCTCCGGTAAAGGGCGGGGTGGGAGGAGGGCACTAGGAAAGACCAGACTTTGGCTAACTGAATTCAGAAGTGGGTCATCACTTCTGAATTCTGCTCCTCAGAACCCAGAAGGCTGGGGAGCATTCCCACAAGCTTGGCCGAGAAGAGGGGACACCGTAAGGAGGCCTTGAAGGCACAAAAGGACAGGGAAGCAGTCTAGAGGAGTCCGCTTGAAAAAGCGGATCTGGCCCAGGGTCCCCCACGTGATGAGGAGAGCACACAGCTGTCCCAGACTGCACTGCTTGCTCTCCCTCTATCCCTTGGACCACCGCTGCTCAGGGATGCTGAGAGAGGCCTGTGTCCCCCTCTGAACAGGCTGAGGGAGGAGTGAGGGCAAACACAAGACTGGGTTAATCATGGGTCTCCTTCTCCTTCGAGAAGGGGCATTTCCTCACACCGTGATCATCAATTAAGATATCCGGGGTGGGGGAAAAACAAAAACCAAAGCGCTTCAATGCCTCTTCCCTTCCCTCGTACTCGCTATTGAAGTAGTGAATTCAGGCAATGCCCTGAAAGCATTCTTCACAAGCAGGCACTGTGAGCCCGGTTCTGCACAAAAAAAAGAAACGCGAACAGCGTGTGCCTGGCCGAGGGACTGCAAGGCAGGCCCGCAATTTCGGGGCCAAATTTCACTCAGGACACAGAATGTAACGTCTCCATTCTGCACCCAATGAGCTAAAGCCAAGCAACAAAGGCAAGATGCGCCCGGAACTCGGGCTTAAGGAGCACACGGGAGACCAGGAGCCTGTATGTGGCATGCTCGAGGCCCGCCCCTCCAAGGGGCCCCCCAAAAATCTGCATTGGCTCAGCTCAAGGAGTGACCAGCAAAGGGAGCTGAGTCCGTCTCACTGCTGAGAAATGCATCCTGCAAGCTTGTGTACACTTAATTCAGGGGCTTCGATACCGCCCAGGCGAGGGTCCGCCACTCCTGGCTCTGACATCGCCCCAGGGACCAGAGAATGAATGGGCCCCCATTCCGACAATCAACATTTCTCCTATTGAGTCCGGGAGGGGACTGGGAGTCGGGGACAAAAGTAACAAACGTGCTCCAGAGGAAGCCGAAAGAGACTACTGGTTGGTTCTGAAGAGCGCGCCTCAGCTTATTTGCTCTTGGAGGAGAGGACGTCCCAGTCCCTGGTGGCTTCGATCAGATGCCGCTGGCCGTGGCTCATCCACTCCTCCTGGTCCTCGTAGAGCCGCCCACAGAACCAGCACTTGAACAGACACTGGGTCGCGTCGTCGGGCAGGGCATCCACCACTTGGTAGTTGTTCTTGTGGATCTTCTTCAGCTTCATCTTCAGCATCATCTGCCTCTTGATCTGATTGGCCTCCTCCGCATTCTGGTAGGTGAGCCGCACATGGTGGCGGCGGATGCCCAGCTGACACCGCGTCCGCTCGGACAGGACCACCTTGAGGACGTTGCCTTTGTACTTGTTGATGACCTTCATCACGTTGGTCACTTCGGGCGAGTCCACATCGGGGTGGTTCAGAACAATCACAGGTTGGTTCCGGCGGGGACATTTGATCAGCTGGTCAGGCTTGGCGGCAACGAGCCGGAGCTGGCGGGCAACCTGGAAAATTGATGGGTCCTTGAGATAGCGGCCCAGCTCTGCCTGCCCCTGGCTCTTCTTCTTGCCGGCATTTCCTTGTCGGCTTTTGCTTTTGCTCAAGGTGAGACTCCTGGAGAGCAGCTTCCGGTGCCTCCCCAGGTCCCCCAGTCCCTGTGGCCCATGGCACAGGGCCCCATTTCTTCTAGGGGTGACACCACACATGGTGCTCTCTTTTCTGGGCTTTGGTCGAAGAGACGTCTCAGGGGTGGGGGCCAGGCCTCCTGATCGGCCTTCGCTCACTGGACACTGCAAGTCTGTGTCAGTCTGTCTTGCTGGGCGGGACGTCACTGGCTGGCTGAGCTGGGCATCACTTCGGGGGACGGTGCCTGGGGTGTCACATGTCGCATCTACGATGGGGACATCCTCGGAGGAATTGAGGACCCTCAATGCTGCTCCTTTAGAAACCAACGCTGGCATGGCTGCATGAGCCCTCCTGCCCCCTCTGCCTTCAGCTTTCCCGCTACTGCCCATGACTGTCTGGGGGTACGCTTGTGTGTGAGGAGACGGGCCCTCGACAGCACGCTCCTCGCAGGGGGCTAGCAGAGAGGCCGAGGCATAGCTGGGGCCTGCCACCGATGTGCTGATTTCTTGGATCTCTTTGGGGGCAGCCTTGGAAAGGGCCTTGGACGCGGGCCCTGCTGGGTGGCCACGTGGGCCGCTGCTGGCTAGAGATGACGGTCTGCCGCAGGACTCGATAAGTTTGGCAATCTTGCGGCGCAGAAGCTCTACAGACTTGACCTTGGACGTCGAGCTGTTCCACCTGATGCTCTCTGGGACATCCTCGGATCCCGAGCTCAGAGAAAACACCGAAGAGATGACCGGGCCCTCGAAACTCTCAGGCGTCCTCTCTGCCGTGGTGAGCTCTAAGGGCCCCTCCCCAGGCTGCTGGGGCATGGCTGTCCCTTCTTCTGCCAGGCTGACCTGTAGACACTCACTCTGGGACTGAGCAGGAGCTGGGCTCACACTGCAGGGCTCGGGTGGGCTGTCCTTGAGCTTCCGGCCAGAGGGTGCGCCCTTCCCGGGGGCACTAAGCTTCCTTCTGCACTCCGGGTCACCCTTACTTCGGGGCAACAAGCCCTGCTCACCAGAGAAGGGCAAGGCCAGGGGAGGTGCACTCAGAGGCAACAGTCGCTTGGAGTCACGCGCCAGGGGTGGCCTCTCCTCAGCCAAGGCGGCGGCCTTATAAGGGAACGGGTCGGGGCCTGCACCCAGCCCGCAGAAAACACTGTTTGTCACCATGGAGGCTGGGGGGAAAGGGCCTTTGAAGGCCAGCGAGGGAAGGGGGGCTTGGTAGGGGCACAGGGCACCTCTCTCCTGCAGATCCTCGGTGGCTGTGGGGGGCTCGCTGGGGCCGTGTGCACCGGGGTGGGACGTGAGGAGTTCGTAGGAGCGCAGCCACTTCATGCTCCGGAGATGCTTCTGCAGGGCTGCAGGGAGGTGCCTCATGCCGGCCGCCAGCCGCTCCACGCAGCCGTCTCCCACCGGGGCTCTGGCTGGCTCCGTAGAGGACCCCTGCCCGGGCTCCCCAGGTCCTCTGTCCTTGGTGCCCTGCTCACTGGCTGCGCCATCACAGGGCCTGGCCTCCAGGCCACTGTTCTCCTCCAGAGGGAAGAGTTTCAGGAGCACCTGCTGGGTCCCATTGACCACCTTCACATCCATGAGCTGGGCCAGGCAGTTGGCAGGGACCACAAGCTCAGAGGGTGCCACCACGGTCAGGGGCATGCCGGGCTGCAGGGGCTCGCGGGCAGGCGACAGCACCTCCACCTCCACGCTCTTGTTCTCGAACAGGGGCATCTCGCTGGGCTCAGCTGGGCTCAGCCTCTTGGGGATACACACCACGTCTTTCTGGAAGTCCTTGGGGTCCGGCAACCATGGGACCCCGTGCGCCTTGTCCTTCCTGGCGTGGACGGGGAACTTGGAGAGCGGGTCGGACAACCGGCCGGACAGTGCCTCCCTCCTCAGGCCTGGGGTCTTGCCCAGCTCCGGATAGGGCTTGGCCGCACTTGCTCGCTTGGCCTCCAGCTTGGCGGGGGGCCCGGGCGGACGCCGGCCGCCTGCCCGCTCATGGACGCGTTTCCGGTGCTTGACAATGTAGTCGTTGCGGACGGCGCCGTAGTCACAGTACTCGCACTGGTAGGGGAAGATGCCCGTGTGCTTGACCAGGTGCCGCTGGAACTCGCCCTTCGTGTAGGAGACGTAGCTGCAGTGGGAGCAGATGAAGCGGATCTCGTCGTGCTGCGTGATGTGCTTCTTGTACTGCAGCGGGTCCTTGGTGGAGAAGCGGCACTTGTCACAGTAGTACTTGCCCGGCTTGAAGTTCCGCACCTTGAACTTGTTGCTGCCCGCGCCAGGGCCCAGCTCGGCCGCCTTCCCTCGGAGGGCACTGGGGCTCCCGCTGCCGAAGGGGAAAGGCGGGGGCGCCATGCTCAGGGTACACTGGAAGCAGATGTACTTGTCTGCCCTCTGGGTCTTCTTCAACTCCTGGATGGGAATTTCCTGCACACCCTTGCACTTGGCACAGGTGGCCAGGGTGGTGAGGGTGGTCTCGGCCTCCGAGCCCGGGTACACCAGCCCAGGGGGCTCAGGCCTCAGGGCGCGGGCTGCTCGGTGAGCGCCCAGGGACTTGGGCGACATGGTGATGGGGCTCCGTCCGTCACTGCCATGTGCCGAGTACAACTGCTGCCCCAAGTCCTTCATCTTCTTGATCTGCATCACCCGAGAGTCCATGGGGAGTCCGGGAGGCCTCATGTGGCCCGCACCTGGGGCGGCGGCCTTCCAGACCTCATGTCCGGGAGCACGTGTGGTGGCCCCCCGCGAAGGTGACTGCTCCAGCTCACAGATGCTCAGGGGGCACTGCAGGAGAGAAAGCAGGAAGTACAGTCAGAACAGGACTGAATAACAGATCTCCAAGCCTCGGTGGGACCCCAGGGCAAGAGGTTGCCACCCCTAAAGCCCATCCTGTGACACTGTCTTCCAGCAGGGGGCACCCGATGCTGGGGGGGAGGGGTTGCTGCAGGTTCTGTTGGCTACTTATGGTGGATTTCCAGTGAGAGCTGAGTCATCTTTTTGCTCACTCTCTTCCACCATCCCCCACACCCTCAGAAAATAGGAGGGTGACCAGACAAATATGGGACCTTCTGCTTTAGATCACTCTTCTCTTGTGTAGATACAGGGCAGGGTGCTGAGTAGCCACCCAGAAGGGTTACTCTGCAAGGCCGCTGAGAACATCCCAGCCATGTCACCACAATGGTGTCACTCCCGTTTCTGAACTGCACACTTCCTGGGTCTCCCTCAATGCCCCGTGTACTCAGGCAGTGCAGTGGGGCCAGGGGCCACACGTTCTCTCCCTGCTGCCCTCAGGCCTCGCTAAGTGCCAGCCACCGCTTTCCCTGAGGGTGCAGAAGAGCAGATGCAGGGGCCCAGGCAGGGGTGGGGGAGTCAAGGCATGATGGGGCTGGGGTGGGGCGAGGGAAAGGCCTCTGGCACTTCCCATTGGAGCAGGCCTAGGGCAGGGGAGAGAAGGGTGTCCTGCTGGGTGAAGGCGGACCCTGGGTACACAGGGCTGGCTCTGGGCCTCACAACTGTCACCTGTTGGAGAGTATGAGGCAGCAGCGGGGGTGCCCAGTAGGTAGGGCGCAGGGAGGGAGGGTAGAGGCAGCCTGGCCAGGATGGACATGGCTGGAGGCTTTCTTAGAGTGAGTAGCACAGGCTGGAACACAGACACTAGTTTGGGGAAGAAACCACTAATTATCTTTAAAAACACCTTCTTTTTTCAGAACACACAGAATTAGGAACCCAACAAAGATCCTTCTGGATTGGAAGCTGCAGTCTTTCCTTGAGGGCCTTAAAAAATATCAGCTTTGGGCTGAAGCAAATAGCAGTTACTAAAGCGCTTCCCTTATGCGCCACTGACTCAAGGTCAATCCCCCATCCCATATGGTCCCCAGCCCCCAACCCAGGAGTGATCCTGGAGGGCAGTCAGGAGTAAACCCCGAGCACCACCGGGTGTGGCCCCCAAACAACAAACGTGCCCACTGTCTCCCTTCTCATCAGTCCATGCCATGCTCCCTGGCAGAGAGAATGTGGCTGAGCTCCAAGTGCTTCTCTGGTTTCAGAAAGGCTGCTGGGAGGGACAGGTGTCCCTGTCAAGAGAAGCTGTGGCTCCAGGAAGGGACGATGGGACATGGCCCTCAAGCCTGCCTGGCAGTCCTGGCTTTTGGACAGCGTCACCAGAGGACAGTTCATCTGAGAACCAACTTGTCCCTGCAACACTGCCTTTCCTGGTCTGGCTTTCAGGGAGACAGTTTTACCTCCCCTTGAAAGCTGGTCCCAGGGAGTGGGCCAGCACCGAGGTGCCCAGTCAGGCCTGGCTGGCACTGGGGGGCATCCGTCAGAGCAGCAGCTGCGCTTAGTGGCAGGACAGGGGGCTGTGGGTTCTCTCTCCACACTTGGATGCTTAGAGACTTACCTAGGAAAGGCACCGTGGGCAGGACAGGGCTCACGAAGGCCGTACAAGGCACAGCTATATGGGCACTGAGGCCTGTCTTTGGTGGCACTCCGGCTGTGGGTGAAAGGCACACTCAGGTTACTTGCGGACACTGAGACGGGCTTTGTTTCCCAGATGTGCAGGCTGGCTCTGATGGGAGAGAGAAATGACATAGAACCAGGCCACTGATAAGGGACCTCAAACCTTTCCTCCCACCCCCATGCCTCCAGATTGAGACTAGCATCAAGGGGACAGCCTCCATGCCCAGTGGAGCACAGCTGGCCGCCTGTAGACGCAGGGACAGTGCTTGGCAGCAGGAGCCACACTTTGTTCTCTTGTGATGCCATCCCTGAGAGCACACACCCTTTGGTGGCAGAGGTGGAGCGGGACTCCATTCCCACAGCTGGAAGGGGGTCTCATGGTCGCAGCGGAGGTGGACATTCCTGGGCGTCACCCCATCACGTCCTTCTGATGGAAAGTCGGCATTAGCTACCCCCTAGTTCAAACTGACAGAGACACTCCAATTCCTTTTCTAACAGCTTCCTGAGCAGATGGCACAACTCAGAGAGACGCCAATGCCATCGTCCACAGGAAATGCTTTTTTTGTTTGTTTGGTTTTTGGGTCACACCCAGTGATGCTCAGGGACCTGGTGGTGCTCAGGGACCATATGGAATGACAGGGATCGAACCTCGGTTGGCCACACTAAGGCAAACACCCAACCTGCTGTCTATTGCTCAGGCCCTGCAGGGAATGCTTCAGGGCTCCTTCTCACAGTGTCCTGCCGTGTGTCCGTACCCTCCAACCAGGCCCGCTGGGACTTTGCACACCCAGTCCCCTGCTCTCGGTTCTGATTGTTCTGATTCAAATAAATGCCTGCATTCCACTCGGCAGCTACATCTCTGCTCTGACTCTCAGTCTCAGTGCAAGTTGAGAAGAGGAGGGGAGTGGGAGGAGGGAGAGCAGGGGAGGACCACGATGGGTAGGGAAACAGGCATGAGGGCATGAATGGGGAGCCCAAAGGCGTCTTTCCCCACTCAGCTGGGAAACCTGTGTGGCCCCTAAGGCCCGGGTGGCCCACCTGAGACAGCAGCACCCCCAGGCAATGCCCCTCAGCCCGTTTCTCCCTGCAACTTCCTCTCCCAGGCATGGCCCACATGAAACTGATTTTGGGGGACGGGGAAGATGAGGGCTGATGACCAAGGGCTGGACAGAGCAGTGGCAGTTGAGGGGTCTCTGTGAATCACCCCGAGCTCATCAAGGGCTACAAACCTCTGTGTTGAACCCCTGAGGCTGAAAAAAAAAATCCATTCTTTGTCTACTCTTGAAGACCACATCAACAGTTGCAATCCTGCTACTAACAGACACAGCAAATCAGGCGGCCATGCAACCAGTTGCCCAGTTGTCGCAGCAAGTGACATGTGAAACGCAGAATGCCAACCTCTGTTGCGAACAACTGCCCAGACAACTTTGGGGTGGGGGGTTCTGCACCACAACCAGTTGGCCCTGTGCTTAAAGGACACGCTCAAAGAAACTAGTGAGCTTGTGGAAACTGGTCCAGTGAGGCCAAGAGCTAGAAACCGTGAGTGCATGTGGGCACCTCTGTTCAAAGGGAAGCAGCTGACTCTTCGGCACTGGAGGCATCCACAATGCCATCACATTCCATTCTAAATATTCTAACTCTGATTCTTGGAACTAGGAGGGAACTGGGCATCTGCAGCTGTTGATGCTACACTGTGAACCAAGATGCCAATTTGGTGTTCCAACACCACTTTCTGGGCTGGTGACCCAAGGGGGTGGGGGGCATTGAGAGGTCTGATTCCTTCAGTGGCAGACACAGGGATTGTGCTAATCTCACAGGGTCACGAGGATTGAACGTGCTCAAGTGACAGTGTGCTGCTCAATCTCTCCTCATGCGCCACAAAGAGCATCTTCAATTTTTTCCCAAAGGAAGAAAAAGAAAGCGATCACTCAATCGCCAAGTCCAACGGGCTACAAGGTGGGCTGCCTAGCTTCCAAGCTCCTTCTGAAACCCACACTGGGTCTCACGTTCAACGCACTACCACGGGAACTTGGTCACTAAGCTGTGTGGGTGACTTGGCCCTGGGGCTAAGTGCTCATAGCATCATGGAAAGGTACTTCCACTAGCAGAGCACTCATAGCCTGCCGTGGAATGAGCTCTCGCCCTGCCAAGCCCAGCTGAGCTGTGAGCCCCCAGAGCATGTGAGCATACCCCCATAACCTGCAGAAGACCACAGCAAGGCACCATTCCCTCCCCCACCCTGCAGCCCTGCTCACAAAACCACCCAGCCCGTATGTGCTCACCTGCCCACCTGCTACCTATGTGGCCAGAGAGCAAGTTCCAGAAACGCTGCGGTCTCAAGTGCCCAGCACCATACAGCCACTGCTTGAGGCAGCAAAACCCAACATCAGGTCCGAACACTGCTGGTGGGCTGGTGGTGGTACCCTCACTCTGCGGCCCTGGGGCAAACAGACAAACCCAGAAGAGGCCTCTCAGGGTGCCCGTCTGCCAAGTCTTCAAAATGGATGGTTTTGTGCGGCAGGTATTTTTGGCCCCACTCCTCACTTGGGCCACAGGCCAGCGTATGAGGGTGGACAAGATGGCTCTGTGTCTGCGGGCAGACCAGAGTGATGACCTTTGGGGCATCAAGGATGAGGTACTTAGCCCTGCTCTGGGGTCCCTTGGATGGTCCCTGCATGGTTTCTCGCAGGCCAGAGAGGAATGGCTATGCCCTCCCCCCCCCCCCCTCCGAGAGCTGAACGTGGCCTGGCAAACTTCACCAATAGGAAGTAAGCGCACAGGCTTCTGTGATACTCCTGCGGAGAAGAGGCCAGCAAGGGCCAGAAGCAGGAATATGGCATTTGTCTCCTCCAGCTCCTCTGCAAAAGGCCTGAGTGAGAACAGGAGTTGCTGAGGGAGCTGGAGCAAGCTTCCCATCTCTCCCCAAATGAGTTCCCCTCAAATCCTCCAAGCACATCAACCAAGATCTGCCTCCGAAAACAAAGGAAGATAGTGTAGGCTTTCCTTTAAACAATCTGAAGAGAAAACCGTTCAAAATAAAGAATATCAGTACTAGAGTTCTTACAGTCTTATTTGATCTGTCCCCATGTAGAGCCAAGAGGCTCTTGCTGGCATTGCAAGATAAAAGTTAAAAAGTGAGTCTGTAATACTATAAAATGTGGTTTCAAAACACACTGAGGGACTCCAGGTCTTCACAGGAGTTTCACAAACAAAACGATGGGCTTATTTTTCTGGTTTCCGTTTTCCTCCTCAAAGAAAAAACAAAATTTTGAGGAAGAAATAAAGAACTTAGCAACACGGGGC